TATTAAAAAAAATGTTTTGGTGATTAATTTTAGTAGAAAACACTCAGATATTAAGATTTAAAAACAAATAAATAAAATTGAAATTTTGAAACTATTGTTCACTTTTTTTGTCTTAAATATGGTATACCCACGATAGACCACGCGACCAAACATGTCACTTTTAGGTACGGGACCACTGTAGAATTAAACATGTTTCTGTAATCTTAAAATAAATATATAGTGATATAAAGTGCCAGCGAACTGTTTATCATTTATAATACACATAACATTTCAATACGAAATAAAAAGAAAGAATAGTCAACAGTCTGGAAAAATGTAATACGACTTTGGTTAGCCAAGCTTATGATTTTAGGGAATTACTGATAAGCCTCAAGATACTTTGTGTTTTAATAATCCTTATCAGGTTTTTTTTTTATATTTTTTGAAAATAGCCTAACTGAAGTAATCGTTGAAGATATTAATAAATATGCTACACAAATAGGTCAAACTTTTCTGACAGAATAACATTACTAGAGCTTCGAAAATATACGGGCATATTGATATATACTTATACTATACTGTTTATCATTACCCTATTATAAGATCCTTTTGGGCAATTAATATACGGCTTGAAGCAATAACAGACACCATAATAGTAAATAGGCTTGAAAAAAAATCGCCAAATATTTTATTTCAACGATAACATTTGCCTCCTGAATCTTTAGCAAGAACAATAACGACTATAAACGAATAAAATAATACCAATTTTATATTCACCTCAATCTTAGTTTCAAGTCTGTTTCTTACCATCATTGTCTATCTTTGAATGGTGGTGAACAGATGTGATGAAACAATATCTCCCAGATAAGCCCCACGAATAAGGCATTAAATTTTATGTGTTATGTAAGTCTTATGGTCAATGCTTTTTCTATTGAAATATACTCACTCCCACAACTTGGAAAGATTACAAAGTGAACCTGTTTTAGGGGCTATATCTAACACTGCTTGCTTCGATCTGTACGAAGCGAAGTAATTCACATAGTATTTTTGATAGTTTCTACAAAAACTTGTCACTTCTTTATTACTTATACAAGGAAGGAATTAATTACTTGGGGTCAGTGCAGAGAATGAGATTAGGCAAAACATGTAAATTGCCAGACAAGAAGGAGGGGCTCATGGCATCAGTATACCACGAGGGTCATACTAGAAAAATGTTACATCCTATAAAGAAGTTGCTTTTCTGGCTGCAAGATGGAAGGATAATACACAGGTCTTGCTGTTTTCTACATATGTAGGTACAGAACTTTCTACACAGGTTGGTGTTGGTCATGAATGGTTTACAAAGAACATTTAAACGCCCATTTTTACTCCCCAGCTGCTTTTAAATGCATGTGTAAAATGTTCAATACATACCACACCTTCATACGTTGTACGAATGGTATTGGAGTGTTGATGCTGAACCCGGAAGTTGTCCGAAACCTTGAACAGGTTAGAAGCAAAGGCAAAAGACAGTGAGAAAAAAATATTATGCGCCCTTGTTGCTTATGACATGGCAATAAGAAGACAAAAATGTGGGAAGAATAAGCGTTATGAGGGTCTGGTACACATGAGTTTAGGAAGCGACGATAACAACCAAATAGCTACTCAGGCATACGTATTTATGTTAGTTGCAATTAATTGGAAATTATCACTGGTTTGATTCTTGATTGACACTTTAAAGGCAGACACGAAAGCCAATTTCATAAAAATAACCACCAGAAAAATGTGAAAATATATGGGTTCAGATTCGTTCTAAAATATTTGACGGGTAAAAGTAATATTGCTACCATGAATAACATTCATGGTAGCAATATTACTTTTTCTTTTTTTGTTAGGGTGTGAGAAAGATAATGCAGAAGATATCAAAACAAACTTAAGACACATGTGTGCAGATTATGATATTGTTAAGTTTCTAGATGCTTCTCATATGATAAAGTTAATGAGAAATGCTTTTGAATAAAAAAATATATTACAAACAACTCATCAAAAACACGTTAAATGGCAATTCATTACTAAATTACACTATTTGCAAGAGGAAAACAGTTTATATTTAAAAAATAAATTATCTCTTGGGCACATATATTTTAAAAATCAAATAATGAACGTCAAATTGGTTACCCAGTTACTGAGCAGAAGTGTGTAAAAATCATTAAAATGTTGTGATTAAAGCTAGAATAGAGCTGATTTCCAAGATTTTGACAGCACTGCGTAATTTATATGTATTTTAAATAATCTATTTGATATCTTAAAGAGATGAACTTTGAAAGATTTTGGTTTTAAAAAGCCTGATAGTAAAAGATATTCTGTGCAAACATTGTTGTTTTGGTCAAAAGAAAAAGATTATTTATTTATATGTATTTATATGTATGTATGTATATGTTTGTATATATGTATAAATAGGAGATATTTCTATAGTTTATTTATTTTATATATCAGTAAAATGTATATATTACGTAGTTGATTTTCATTTTTATTTTATTCTATAGGGCCACACCTACGTCAAATTCTCACCAATAAATGAGTTGACTGGTAGAGAATGCCTCCAGCCATTAAGTCCGCCCTTGTGTTCTTATATATTAAAGAATGCAATAAATAATAAATAAAAAAATATTTACTATCGTTTTCCATTAAAGCTCAATACAAAAAAAAACTAATAAAATTAGCAATGAATCGAGAACATTATTCTCAAATAAATAATTATCGTTATATAAGACGCAAAATAATACTGGTTTGCTGGGACTACTTGCGTGCATCAGTAGCTTGACATACTTATATACTACCTTAGTTGAAACGATCGTCCTTTCATTTTGATTGGCCTACAAATTCAGTCAGAACCATGTCGAGCTGTTTTTGGCGTTATAAGAAATCAAGGTGTACATAATAATAATCCGAATAGTCGACAATTCAAAGCAGGCTTTAAAAAATGTTTGACTTGTTTAGAACTGAATTCATAATTTACTGACAAGTATCTGGAGCTCAATCTCTCCATAAGAATAATAACACCTCGATAGGATACCGTCTTGATGTGAGTGAAGAGAGAAACTTAAGTGAAACAAAGACTTTAAATTACAGATATTTAAGTACAGCAAATTTTTCAAAAATATCAAACAAATCGCGACATACTTTCCTTGAAATTGGATGAAAGTCCATATATATATATATATATATATATATATATATATATATTTTTTATATATATCGAGCGTTGTTATCAGTATATTAGTAAAACAACGAAAGTGTGACCAGTGTAAAAAGAACTTGTGTGCTGTTGCAGAGAAACTATTCTTTCACAAATTAATGGACTTAGAAGAGAAATGGGAGAGTTATTCTATATCTCTACCGATGTATTTAATATTTGCATGAAAACTGAAAGCGTGATCCGAAATTTAATTCGCGTGCGTGAAGGTAAATCTTTTAAAAAAAGGTATGAAGGCAAGTATATATGAATAGCAATTTTAAAATTATAGTATATTGTCTGGAATGTGTGTTTCCTGGAGGAGATGAACATTTCGTAAAGTAATCACGCAATTACTTTACTCAAAGTAGTAGTTAATATTTTTACTGATATAAGGTAACATTATATATGTAAAAAATAAACGGGAATATCAAAAACAAATCAAAACTACAATTGTACAACAAACTCAACTATTTATGCCTAAAACATAAATAATTTGTACTAAGCTTACGATCATATTAAAAATTATTTCAGTGTTCAAAACGACTCCATACTTCCTGTAGCAAAATTCGAAGGAGCAAACAGAAAAGAAACTAAACGATGTACGAGTAGCTCGTAAGGCCATAACGGCAAAAATAGGTACTTTATTTGTTACAAGTAGTACAAATGTACCTGTTTGCCGTCTTTTCATTTTCAGGAGTAATTTATTGCTTTGTTCCATTTCTTGTGACTAATGATCTTAAGATTTGTGAATTTTATTACTAGGTGCCATAGTTGTAGTAATTTCAACGTTAAATTAGAAACTGTTTTAATTTTTTTTTGTCTCAGTTCTTTAGTCACGCGGTCAACATTTAGCTTTGATTTTGAACGTGATACGCTATCTGGTTTAATATTGTTGATCGAACATTTTAGTTTATGAACGAAAATAAGTTTTGAGTGAAGTAATCGTGAGTCCACGATAGAAGAGATTTTCCAGGAATGTTTTGACGAATCAATCCCTGAACTCGAATCTGATCATTGTAGCGAACATAACCTTGGATCTGAGACAGAACGGAGGCTTGCGATCGAGAACCAGAGTCTTAATTAGTGATTACGACGACAATCTTTCACCAGATATACCAGCTAACCCTTCACCATCTGGTGAAGGGTTAGCTGGTATAGGGTAAGGTTGCGATCATTGGACCGGCACTTTCATTGGACCGCTTCAATATTTTCGAAACGGTTCGATTTTAAAACTGTTGCTAGGCGTCGGACGCTTGGTATACGTCCCCCCGCCACACCCCCGTAGTCTCGGTTCTGCCGCAGGCTCCGTCGCGGACGCAGGTCTGTTGCTGTCGCTGCGTTTCGCGCGCTCAATAAATTTTTTTCGCCTGCTAAACCAAACCATGTAAGTAGATATTATTTAAGGATATTCATGCGTGTTGTTTAATGTTCTGTTCTTTGTTTATCAACGTTATTGATTCTTATAGAAAGGAATGTCCAAAGTTATAGTTTAGTCGTAATATTTGACCTTGTAAAACCATACGTAGTTGCCATCATTGAACCACCTCGAAGCTCCTCGATTGGACCGGTCCAATCATGGCAACTAATATAAAACCTGGATTTTAAAATATCATTCGGAGAGATCTACCTATTTTTTTTAATGTGAAATGAAATAATAATATATTTTAAATAAATTGATTTAATTTTAAATGGCAGGGTGTGTTTAAAATATCATTGGAATACCTATGTCAACTTATTTTATTTAAAATGTGAAATAATAAATTTTTATAAAAATAATTAATTTAATTTCTATCTGGTTTTGCAGCATTAAGAGGACGTGGTCAACTGAAACTAGCATTACAGGCATTACGTAATAGGGAAGTTGGCTTAAATGAAGCAAGCACAATTTACGGTGTACCAAAAGCTACATTAAAGAAACGACTTGGTGGCTCAAATCAAACAGCCAAAGAAGAAAAACAAACGCCAGGTTCTGCAGGTGATCTCACACCTGAATTGGAAGAAAAGTTGTATCAACATATTCTAGAAATGGAAGCCTGTTTGTACGGTCTAACACCAAAAGATGTGAGATCACTTGCTTTTAAAATAGCTGAGAAAAACAATATTAAACACAGATTTAATAAAACAAAAAAAAATGGCCGGGAAAAAGTGGTACTATGCGTTTTTAAAGCGTCATCCCAGTCTAAGTTTAAAACAACCCAGAGCTAGATCTTTAAATAGAGCTACAGCATTTAACAAACCAACTGTCAAAGACTTTTTTGAAAAGTTAAAAAAAAGTGATGGATGAGCACGGTATACATGACCCACGATACATTTATAATGTAGATGAGACAGGCCTCTCAACATTGCAACGAAAAGCAAGAAAGATATTGGCCACAAAAGGAAAGCATCAAGTTGGTGCTATTACAAGTGGTGAGCGTGGATTCACTACTACTGCTGTGTGTTGTGCAAGTGGAGCTGGCCATTTTGTACCACCTCTTGTAATTTTTAAACGAAAAAACGCTAAAGACGAACTTCGCGACGGTGCTCCACCATGGTTCAATCTTTGCTTTTAACCCCGACAATGGCTACATTATGATTTCTTATATTTACGCGAACACTACACATTGAGATAATACTAGTTTTTATGGAATTTATCGCGTATATTTAACTTTTTAAATACCCGACGTTTGAAAGCTTTACAGCACCCATGGTCACGGGCGGGACTGAGATGTTCAACGTCCAGCTGTCATAGTTAACCGCGGTTACCATAGATTAAAATTTAACTTTTGTTCCGATCTACACAGTATGAACTTATGGTATCATGGAGTCTTGCAGTTGTATGCTTGGGTTGGGTTTTCTGTGAACATGTACAGAATCGCCCCCGTCACTACATCAGATTTGATAGACCACAAATCCTCGCTAAAGAACACCGATTCCTTCCAAGGATGATTCGCGAGGCTATTGAAATCAAAAAACATCCTAATTTCAATAGAGAAGATGGCTGGGTGCTACCATCTGCTTGGGATCCTATAATAAATAAAATTAAATCCCAACCCAAGCATACAACTGCAAGACTCCATGATACCATAAGTTCATACTGTGTAGATCGGAACAAAAGTTAAATCTTAATCTATGGTAACCGCGGTTAACTATGACAGCTGGACGTTGAACATCTCAGTCCTTTCCGTGACCATGGGTGCTGTAAAGCTCTCGAAACGTCGGGTAATTATCAAGTTAAATATACGCGATAAATTCCGTAAAAACTAGTATTATTTCAATGGCTACATTAATAGTGAAATATTTTTTGTTTGGTTGCAACACTTTGTAGAATGTGTAAAGTCGACCACGGAGCAGAAAGTTTTGCTGTTACTTGATGGACACACTAGTCACACAAAAAATTTGGATGCTATTAAATATGCCAAGGAAAACAATGTTGTGTTACTGTTACTTCCTGCTCACACTTTCAATAAACTGATCTGATAACAAATCCAGGAAGACGTGTTACAGTATTTCAAATTTCAATGCTTTTCGGTAAAACCTACGCCCGTGCTGCATCTATTGCAACCGCTGAAAGTGGATTTCGAAGTACGGGCATATATCCTTTTAATAAGGATATTTTCCAGGATTATGAGTTCGTTACTTTACCTGAAGATAACGACAACTTACCGGCTATTGAGAATGAGAACATGATTGTGGATCCTTTGTTTTCAGAGCTTAATGATGTAGATGACAATGGAATACCAAAAGATGTTACCTCGGATGATCCACCATTTTCGTGCACCAGTGTTGAATCTACTGATGTAAATACGATGCAAACAATACCGTCTGCTTCCAAAACCCCCGTTATACCAAGCCCTGATTTATCGGATAATTGCAACAATATAAATATTCAACCTGAAACACCAATCATAGCAACAAAAGAAGTAAAACAATGGCAGTCACTTCCAAGCACTAGCTCAGAATTTCAAATTTTTAGTGTAACTCCGACTGCAAAGAAAGTCATGCAAGAATTGAGAAAAGGAAGTCGTAAACCACAATCGGCAATAGAATTAACTGCTTCCCCATATAAAACACAATTGGAAGAGTCAAAAGCTAAAGCATTATAAAGAATTTAACACTAAGTACTCTGATATTCCCATATTTTTTCTATGAAGATTTTAGTATGTAGCATTTTAAAAAAGTGATTACATGGTATTAAATATAAGGACCAAGAAGACTGTATTGTGAGCCAATGTTAAAATAATTAATATTAAAATAATGGTTAAAAACTTAATTACCTCAAGTTGTTGTTTTATAATTTTTATATTTTTTATGGGAAACATTTAAAAAAATGTTACATACATGCACTGTATTAAAACCAAGAAGACTGTTTCATATGCCTATATTGAAAAATGACTTAATTAGTAACAAATGCTTTACAGCACTCATGGTCCCGCCCGTGACCATGAGTGCTGTAAAGCGTTCGAAACGTCGGGTATTTAAAAAGTTAAATATACGCGATAAATTCCGGAAAAACTAGTATTATTTCAATGTGTAGTGTTCGCGTAAATATAAGAAATCATTAGTAACAAAAAGTTTAAAATAATGATTAAAATGTTCATTTCTTTAAATTCTAGTATTATTATTTTGTCACCTTAAACCATGAAAGTTCCGAGTTCCCATCAATGGACCGGTCGACTCATTTTCCTAAGTCCAATGATAGCAACAAGTGGTCTAATGAACGTTCCAGTGGTCCAATCAAAGAAACCTTAACAAAAATCATTTTACCCATTTATTGACTCTATTTACTATTTTAGAATTCTGAAACTTTAGGAATTTACACAGGAATGCAAGAGCACTTCAGTAACTAAATCACTTTTATTCCACATTGCATACATTCGTTTTTTTAAACATTTTACACAAGTGGTCCAATCATCGCAACCTTACCCTACCTAAAGGATATATCATAGTAATGGCAATGCGACTAAGTGGAGCGGAAAAAATACTGCTTATTGGTGACATCAATCAACTCCCTTATATCGACAGGGAAAACCTCTTTGCGATGCAATATACTCGCCCAAGCCTCGTGACCACTATCAGCCAAGAACTCCTGTGTACGCACCGGAATCCGATGGATGTGGCATATGCCCTGAATGAAATCTACAGTGGCATTTACTCATCCAGATCTCAGGTGCAATCACTAGAAAGGAAGAGGTACACGGGAGTCGTCATACCAGGTACCCTGCCCGACACCTTATATCTTGCATTTACGCAAGCAGAAAAGGAGTCCCTTACCAGCCAGGGATATGGTTCGGGTCCTGGGTCGCGAATTTTAACCGTACATGAGGCCCAAGGTCTCACATACGGGAGAGTGGTCATAATGAGGACAACAACAGAGAAGCTCAAAATTTATGACAGCGTCCAACACGCAGTAGTGGCAGTGTCCAGGCACACAGAAAGCTGTGTTTATTACACGGACGTTTGCGACGATGCAACTGGGAGGCTGATTGAGAGCGCAATGGCTGCGACAACGAAAAGAATCAAAGAATATAATCTGAAAATGGCAATTAGAAACAGAGACGAAGCTATTGTGGAAGCCCTGTCAACAGATATCACAAACAGTTAAAGAAGGAGCACTCTCCACGACATTAACTACAATTAAAAGGTAAAAAAAAAAAGGAAAATCTGGTAATATAATAAATTAACATAGCATGTAAGGCCATATACATTAAGTATGTAGATTATGTTGATAACTACATGAGGAAAAAAAAAAAAGAGAGAAAAAAAAATATATATAAAAACACAAAGTGGGTCGACAATTATTATGTTTAATTAACAAAAAAAAAACCAAAAAAAAATATTGCGTGTAAATGCATGTCGCATGTAAGCATATCAGTTTGTAGATCTTAAGAATGTAAGACAATAGACATAAATAAAAAAAAAATAATACACAAAAAAGTGTAAAAAAAAAAAATATATAGCGTGTAAGTGAATGTCGCATGTAAGCATATAAGTTTGTAGATCTTAAGAATGTAAGACAATAGAAATAAAAAAAATAAAAAAAAAATAAAAAAAAATATATAAACATATATATGTGAACTCACTGCTAGGCTTAAATATTTAAGAAATGTAAGTAGTGTAAGGAGTACATTTATAACAGTATTTTAAAAGTTAATAAAATAAAGTAAAGCAAACAAAAGGTACGGACTCGAGTCTGTAGAGTAAACTTATTGGAAAAAAAAAAAAAAAAAAAGGATATATCCATATCAGCCAACACTTTATCAGATATACCAACAATCATTTCAACAAGAACATCAGACAATGCCCAATTAGTTGTGCCACCAGTAAGATAAAAATTTTTAAAAAAAATGCCTCAACATATCACTAAATCAATTGAGAAACTTCAAGCAATTAAAGATCAGGCACTAAATATGAGAGAAATAGAAGAGGTAATCGATTCTCCGAAGACCTCCGCATACCGACTCTCCATGCAATGAATCAGAACATTATATTGAAATACCAGAACATATTATGTTTGTGCCACAACAGAATCACGATGACACTTCAGCAACAGAAACTAACAACACGTTAGAAATTGAAATTCAGGAACAAGATAGTAATAATTAATCAGTGCAAGCAATAAAAAGCATCGGTGGGATTACTCAAAAACCCCTTTTTTTATTAGACATTTAATGCATATGTATAATTATTTTAGTATTTAAGTCTGATTATTGTGAGCACTTACTTTAATTCAAATAAAAGTAAACATTAATAAGATGGTTTATTTTTTACTGACCTGTATAAATTTCACCTAAAGCATCACAAAGCGATTTTCTAAGGTACGAAATCTGCAACCTGTAGCTAGATACCTTAATACTACATGAAGTTTAAATTTAGCAGGTATTGCTTTCCTCAAATGGGTATCTGCTTTCCATATTATTGTTGCTACTTTTTCTAGCAGATACTGAAATTGTTCGTAGTTAACTAAATGCTTAGGTCCAAAATGTAATGGGCATCCACAGCCAACAACAGTCAGTAAAGGAGGCCCAAAACTCTTGTTTTGGGCCTCCTTTAGGAGGCCTAAAACAAGAGTTCAAATATGATACGATTAGTGAGGATGATCGAAAGTCAATACATTCACACTATATTGTATTGCAGGCACGTCCAAAGTATAGACGAAAGACTACTGATGTTACCACTTCAAGAAAAAACAATGGATTTACATTCTACTTAACTATGAAGGAAAATGGAGACGATATGAAGAAACGTGTATGCCGAAATATGTGTATAAACACTAAGTATTCGTGAGAAGACGGTACGCTCATGGACATTATCAGACCAACCCAGTACAAGCCTTGAAAACGAAGATCTTCAAGCGCAGATCCCACGACAAACATCAAACATGGTTAAGAATGTAGAGGAGTTTCTGAATTCACTGCCTAAATTAGAAAGCCATTATTGTCGAGCATCATCCAATAAACTCTATGTTGAGCCTTTGTGGTTTCATCTCTCTTTTCCACTTAACAAATAAAATTATTTGAAGCACCCGGTTCATCACGTCTTAAAATCCAGTTCCGGGTTACAAGCGTTTATTGGACTTTTGATGTATACATCTGTTTTCAAATCTAATCGCACAGTTGCAGATTTTGGTATGTCAAAAAACTAAAAAAAAAGGTTTTTATGTTTGTTAAATTGCTTGCGTTTTTATAATACGGCTGATAGAGAAGAAAGAAAAAAGACAGATAAATTAGCTGCGACATCTAATATTTTTATCGTTTTGTATCAAATGACCAAAGAGTTTATAACATAAGTCAATAAACAACTGTATATGAGATGCTTGTGGCTTTCAGAGGTCGAACGTATTTGATGATTTACGTGCCCAGTAATCCGGCAATGGACTAAATTTAATGTGTTTGTGCGATGCTGAAAATGGATATCTTTTTTTTATTTAAATTAATATTAACAATGTTATAAACATTACTAATATTCCTATGAACCACTCGTGGTAAGCTTAATTTGCTTGTGTTACGAGTGGTTCACGCCAGTAGTCGAATGGCGGATTCGAACCCACGACCTTTTAGAGTTCGCGGTCTGCGACCTGCCATTAGGCTACTGTCGCTTATACAATTTTCTTTACTAATAATAATCTTTACAATTCCCATGTTTATTCTGGAAAAGGTTCAGATGGAGATGGTCTAAGAGATGAAAAAAAGAAGTTGCTCGTGACCACCCAAACAGTACTACGTTTGTCAAAACCATTACACGGCAGCAACAATGACCTGTGATAGTTGGTTCACGTCAATACAAAGAATTTTTGCTTTGTAACAAAGAGGACTCGCGTGTATTGGTACTTTTTTATCGGCTAATACTAGAGATGAAGGCTCGATTTTATACGGTTTTACAAAAGACATAACGCTAATTTCGCATGTACCTAAGAAAAACAAAGCTGTCGTGTCATATCAGCTACCTCGATGCATCATTCTGAAGGAATTGATATTGAGTCAGGAAAACCAAAAATCATTCAATTCTATAATTCCACAAAAGTAGGAGTGGATGAAATTGACAAAAAGTGTTCAATATACACTTACAGCCGCCAAAGAAGACACTGGAATATAACACTTTTTACTGCATTTTGACATAAGTTCTCATATTGAATAAAACTATTATTTACGGATTTTTTACGCTAAGATCTTAAATCAGGCAAGTAAAAAGTTGTTACGGACGGTGATTCAGCAATGTGTAGTGTTCGCGTAAATTTAAGAAATCATAAGTTCTCATATTTAAGAATAATTATGAAATATTAAAAAAAATAAATTAAAATTGGGTTGTCCGGAAAAGTACGTACGTAATAGTGAGGTTTCTAAACGATGGAATGAATGACTTGCTGAGTTTCCGTAAATGGTGAACAAACGGAATTTTTCCTCGTTACCTGCGGTGTCAAGCAAGGTTGTATCCTGGCGCCAACGTTGTTTGCTCTATATTTCGGTGTGGTGGTCAGGGATGCTATAGACACTCTGCAGGTCATCAGTGCTGAAAGGAATACGTATCCCTTATACGTATTCCTTTCCGCACTGATAACAATCTTTTTAGTTTAAATAGACTGCGGGCAATGTCTAAGGTGATTTGCGACGTAATAACTGAAATTATGTACGCAGATGACTTGTGCTTTGTGACGGATTCCCCGAATTCTCTCCAAAGATTGATGACTAGTCTTGATGAATCATGCCGTAAGTTTGGCCTCAAAGTCAGTGTCACAATAGCCGAAGTGACGGCTACGGGCTCCCATTCTGACCCTTTACCAATCCAGCTTAATCAAGACGTTCTGAATTCTGTAGAAAAGTTTAAGTACTTGGGAAGCGTAATAACATCTAAATGTGACCTTGAAGCTGAAATTAATGGAAGAATCATCTGAATCAGTCGTCTTCGCGCATTCGTCTCGTAAACATCAGTTGTGTGTGTTGCGAAATATGGGTATATTCCTATATACTACGAACAATTCTTTTTAAACAATAATCGTTATGGCGCCGATTCCAAAGTGTTATACGTGCAACAAAACAATTACGAAAAAAGCACCAGGTATTGAGTGTAGTTTATGTAAACACCTGCTACTACACCTTGTGCAGCTCTAACTACCAAACAAATAAATGCACTGCGAGCTCAAACCAGCTTTGACTGGATATGTAAAGACTGCCTGAAAAATCGTCCACGAAACAGTTCCTTTATAGTACCAGAGGACAATTCTGAGGAAGAAGCACCAGCCAACAACTCGCACTACGTAGGTTCCCCAGACCCACCCTCTAGACAAACTACCTTGCCTACTATTGATATTAAAAAACTATTGATGGATATTTCCAAAGAGGTTGACAAAACAATTGCTAAGCCGCTAGAGCCTTTAACGGACAAAATGGATGAATTATGCGAAAATATCGAAGCATTTCAACAAAGAATAATTGAACTTTTATTATACGCAGATGACCTCAAAGTGTTCAAGAAAATTAATGACCTTAATGATTGTATTGATTTGCAAAGTAATGCTAACACGATTGCTGACTGGTGCAACCAAAACTGTGTGTACTTACATATAAAAAAATGCTTCGTTATTTCTTTTACCAACTAACGTAAAAATAAATCACGATTATATACTTGAAGGTCAAATTCTTAAGCGAAATTCAGTTGCAAAAGACTTAGGTGTTTACTTTGATGAAAAACTTACTTTCAGAAATCATTATGATCACATTATTTCTAAGTCATACAAAACATTAGGTTTTATTACCAGAACAACCAAACATTTCAAAAAAACCATCCACATTTATACATCTCTTCTATGCTTTGATAAGAAGTACTCTTGAGTATGGTTCTGTTGTATGGTCTCTATTTTACGAAGTGCACTCCGTGCGTCTAGAACAGATCCAAAACAAAGCTCTTAAGATAGTTAGTTATAGACTGAAAATAAGTCGCAAGCTACCGTCTTATCAGGAGAGACTACTTACATTTGGAGTTTCATCACTGCGTAATAGACGTGCTATACAAGATATTCGTTGCTTACATAAACTAATACACTGCAAAATTGTTTCTCCAAATCTTTTATCCCAAATCAATTTCAATATTAAGTCAAATCGCAGGCGTCGTCTTAATACGTTTATATTAAACGTCTATAAGAACAATACTTCATTTTACAATCCTTTAACACGAATGTGTCGCTCTTATAATGATATAGTTCTAACCGAGTCAGGTAAGGACATTGATGTCTTTGACAATAATGTAAATAAGCTTCGTACTCAACTGTTCCACTACTTCAAGTCAACTCCACATTAATTATTTCTCGTCATAATAAAACTTTCACTATATTGTCGAAAAATTTGTTAAATTTATATATTGTTTTTTTTTTTTTAGTAAAATATACAATATGTAACATAATTAACGCACTTTGAGGAAGTAGTTTGTTCAGAATCGTTTACTGAATCGATTCCTATCATTTTTAATATAGGTAATTTTTATCCCAAAAATAATTAAAACTACGTAAATTACAGTCACACTAAATCTGTACAGTCAGAACAAACTGAAATGGACCGTAACTTAAGGCAATAAGACTTTTAAGAGTGCAGTTTTATTTGTATTATTACTAATTTTGTCATTCAATAAAAATAAAGAAAAATGAACTTTATTTCAAGCACGTTAAAGTCTTTGCGTTCGTGGATTTGTACTGTGACCACAACATTCTTCCGGAATTAGTATAACTAATTTGATAAATAATCAGTGCATAAAAATGTTTAACTAAAAATTCAGTATATGTATTATGATTATAACATAATATACTAATTGGGGTGTCTGAGGGTGTGCGTTAATTACGTTATATATTGTATACATAAATATGTTTACGGATAATTCATGTTGCAACTGCATGTACGCGTTTTTGGTTTGTATTCCAGGTCAAAACTTTGTATATAATAGGTATTTATGTTACGTAAAATTGAATGTAAACTGTTTGTAATATAATAATGTAATGTGTACATCCAATAAAATAAATGAATAAATGAACTTGAAAAGAAAAATGCCTCACTTATCAACGCTGACAAAAATATGGAAACAAGACTGTGTGCAGTGGAACAGCGAAGCCATGAACTTGAGCAAGGCCAGCTTAAAAACTATACGGAAGTTTCTGGATTACCGGCCCTAGAAAACGAAGATCCTGTACTAGTAGTGAGAAATCTAGCAAAAAAGTTAAACATAGAAGACCCAGGAGAGATAATTGCCAAACGTGTAGGAAACTACGGAGAAAAACCAGGATATATTCTGATGGAGCTCCAAGAGGAAAAGCGATGCTGTTGGCTGCAAAAAGCGAGAACTGTGAAACCTGTACTCGGAGATCTGATACCCAACGCTGAAGAAAATGAAAGCGGAAGAAAAATATTTGTACGCGAAGCATTAACGCCACACAATAAGGCATTGTTGTGGAAAGCAAGACAGCAGCTATCAGACACCTTTAAATATGTATGGTTCAATGATGGAAAAATAAGAGCGCGCGAAGAAGATAAAAACGAGGTCTTCATCCTGAGGAAGGAAGCGGATATTGGGACTCTGCTGTGCTAAGGTCAACGATACTCTACTAACGGGTTTGCTTACTGACATAAATCTAAATAGTATTACGGAAATTAGGGACTGTTTAAATATCGAAACCTTCCTATCATGTTTGCCTAAGACATCAAACGTTACTTGATTTCATGTAAACATCAACATTAGTACCACTAAAACCGCTTCACTGAGTTTTGAATGTATTGTTGGAACACTTGCAACATCGAATAAAAGTACCTACACGCTGTGTGCATTGTACCGACCGCCAGACAAAAGTAAAACCCTATTTGTTTCCGAGCTGAAACACTTAATAAATAAATATGCGCACTGTGATAATTTTCTAATTATAGGTGACATAAATCTAAACCTTAAAATATATACAACACAATATCACAATATGTAGACCTAATGAGCGAGTACGGCCTATCTTGTGGGATATCTGATTATACTAGGATCGTAAAATCGTAAAAATCTAGTAACTTAGAGTTGCATAGATCATATTTTTGTGCGGTCTCGTAAACATAGTCTTTACAGTGCGGCTTTGGGGACTGTACTGACGGACCATCGAATGACTGCAATTGCACGCGTCGCCCCGGCACATATACACACTGATCCTGTTACATTAAAACGTTTTAAACAAGAACGTCTGAACAAAGAATTACATAATATAGACTGGAGTAATGTTAATACAATGGTTTGCCCAAATTTGATATACAAAAATACAAAAACATAACTAAAATTTCTGAATGTTACAAAAAATCGGAATACATCATAAAAATAAAATCAACATCTAAACGAAATAATGAACCATGGATAAATAAAAGTATAAAAAAACTTTGTAATAAAAGAGATAATCTATTTTTAAACTGGAAAAAAGATCCTACTAACGCCGTGTTAAGAGTAGAGTATAATAAAATAAGAAATAAAACTCACAAAACAATAGAGAAATCTAGAAACTTATTTTATAAAACGGAAATACAGAAAAATAGAAAAAATACAAGAAAACTTTGGTATATAATTAATAAAATAGCAGGAAGGTTATAAAGCTTTTAAAACGAACAAAATGAATACTTAAACAAGCAATAATTTCGCGGTTAAGGTTGATTTCACACTAAATGTTATTTAATTTATGTCTTTTCATAGTTTATGTTCATGCGGACAGTATTTATCTATGATTTTGTACGTAACCCGTTATCTAGTTGGTATTGTTGATCAAAGCCTTGATGAGAAAAAACACGTATTAGTTGCTTTTATTGACTATAGTAAGGCTTTTGATACTTTACGACATGAAACTCTAATTGAAAAGCTTCAAGACACAGGTATCAGAGGACCTTTGTTAGACTGGAGTAAAAATTATCTCTGTAACCGACAATATGTTGTTAAGGTAGGTAATATATTTAGTGATAAAATAAACATTACAGAAGGAACAGCACCGGGATCAGTATTAGGTCCCATACATTACCTTTCTTATGTAAATGACCTTAACCACCTCATAAAAAAGTGTAAACTGTATCAATTTGCGGACGATACTTGTCTCGTATCAGCAGGTCGTGACATAGTGGCCGCTCAAAATACTCTTCAAGATGATATAACACTTCTAAATCAATGGTCTCATGATATGGGACTAGTTCTTAATGCAGAAAAAACTAGTCATGCATATTAGGTCGAGTCATAACACAGTATCTAGTCAAATATCAATCATTGTGCATACTCACGAATGTATGCATGGACTTATTCAAAAATGCATATGTACACCTATATAACAAGTAATAAATCAAAAATACCTAGGCTTAATCATGGACAACAGATTTAACTGGGGTCCTCACATAGATACGATCTGTATCAAATTAAGGTCATTACGTGCAACATTTCATATTATCAAGAATAAAGTACCATATTCAGTACTACTATCAATGTACCATGTGCTAGTAGATTCGATAATATCATATGGAAGTTATGGTCGTACATTCAAAACATACATCGATATATAATCTACAACTAAAATTCTTAAAACTCATTGCAGATGACAAGGTTAAACAAAAATATAAAGAAAATAACTATATTGGTCTTTTTAGATACCGTAACGTTATACCTATGAATAAAAAACTTGAATATGATATGATATTCAAGTGATTAAAGATTTTAATACGATTCCATCACTGAAAATTATAAAATATTTTAATAGAACACGACAACATAATAAAAAAACAGTAGCAAAAATAAACTCAAACAACTTTTATGGAGACAGGCGCACTATTAATATATTAGCTTCTATTCTTAACGATCTTCCAGAAACAATTAAGAAGGAATTGACTGAAAAAAAACTTAAAATATAAATTTAAACATCATATACTAGACAACCTAAATTAAGTCTTCAAATTTTCCAATTACCTCAGTAAAACTTAAAAAAACAGTCAAAATTAATTATTAATTAATTATTAAAAATAAATAAATTGCTATAGAAATCAGACTGTATATGAAAAGTACACACTCACTACCTATTGTTTTAAGAATTGTATACCGTATCGCGGTTAAATGTTGAATATTATAAGAATGTGTGTGTAAAGTAAGATACATGTACTTAGTTGTTATCATACTTAATTTTTTCAGTTTTATGATAGTAGGTAGTTATTAAAAATAATATATTAATACGTATAGACGTCTGTCAGCACCAATACAAACCGTTTTGCGGTTTAATGGTGCTAGTAACTATGTACTCTGGTAATATGTTTTAAGTATAATTGAAATAAAATAAAAAAATGGGTGCTGCATCAGCTGCTTTCGGAAAATTGAGATCCAAGGTTTTCCGTTCACCTGATATCAGGTTACCTACTAAGACAGCAGTCTATAGGGCGGTTGTTCTGCCAAATCTATTAGATATTCCTCTGAGTCTTGGTGTTTGCATCGGAGGCACATACGAATTCTGGATAGATTCCCAATGTCTCCGTAATATCATGGGTATACGTTGGTTCGACCGTGCCAAAAGTACGGAAGTCCCACGCCGAGCTAACATCTGTGGCATGGAGGCACTCCTGATGCAGCGGCCACTGCGTTGGTGTGGTCATGTGTTTCGGATGGCTGACAGCAGAGTGGCAAAACGCGTCATGTACTCTGAGCTTCAAGAAGGCAAGCGCAAACAAGGCGGGCAGCTCCTAAGATATAAGGATGTATTAAAGAGGCACATGAAAAAATGCAACATCGAACCCTCTTCTTGGGATTACCTAGCTAAAGACCGGCAAAAATGGAAGCGTCTTGTGAGACAAAACATCAACACCTTCGAAGGCAAACGCATACAAGATCTAGATTCTAAACGAGAGGAACTTAAAGCCCGGCGATCTGCGGCTTTATAGTGTTTTCACGGGTTTGTACGGTGTTTTCACCTGCTCTAAGCGTGCTCGCACTTTTCTTGCTAAGATTGGCTATGCTAGTCACTTGCGAGCACATGAACGGGCGGAGCAGTAAAATTTATATATAGGAGTCAAAAACGGTCGCTGTGGCCGAAAGCGGCTAGGAGAGATATAAATTTTCATATTTTACATGATGTGAATGCAAGTTGATGAAAACAAGTCGCGGTGTGTTTGTTAAACAATTGACTCGTTTTAGAGTTTTAGAGCACATGAAAAGAACAGTAATAAACTTACGCTTACCTCCGGAGCTTCGCTTGAGTTTAGCCAGACTACTCTGTTCAGATATGGTCTAGAAAAATATGTGCATCTTGCCCAGCTAAACTCAACAGGAAATCTACATATAAATGTTAGTATCCGGATGATCGAGCTTTCTCGGTTTTTTTTTAAATTACATTTAGATACAAATTACATACTGATGAATAATATTTTTTGATCTTATTGACATAATAGAAAAAACTGAACTGGTTATTTAAATAAAAAATCATGAGTGCAATTAGTTTAATTAAAATTTTCGTATTTTTAAAAAATATTAAAAAAGGGCTCGAAATAATAGATTTTCTCACAAAAGAAGGTAACATAAAAAAAAGGGGAAAAAAACTCGAACCGAGGACGGGACGCGAACCAAGGCATTACGATTTCGCGGCCGCTCTATATACACTTGAGCCATTACGATCTACGATTATTAACACAGTGTCAAAATTTACCTTCTTATATTGTAGCAGTTTTTCATTGCCTGAAAAAACGGACAAAATAAACATTTTCTAAAAATAAATCCTAGCTAGATCGATTTATTGCCCCCGAAGCTCCCTGGATACAAAATTTTATGAAAATCGTTGGAGCCGTTTCCGAGATTCCGATTATATATATATATATATATATATATATATATATATATATATATATATATATATATATATACAAGAATTGCTCGTTTAAAGGTATAGGATTCTTGCAAAAAAACACGACGTATGTTTACAGTGCGCCAAACAAGTGTGCCCTGACTGAGCATAGGTAGTTTTCTGTTAGACATTTTTTTATTTTGAATATTCTAAATGATATTTATTATTTTTCTAATACACATCTTTAGTTTAAAAAAAAGTGATGTTTGTGGTTCCTAAGAAGTTAACTTTTTTAATATTTTTTGGTTCTTTATGTGTCGTTTTTCACTTAAAAAATGGTGCCAAAGATTGAAAGGTCTATAATTTCTAAGTTTAATAAAAATTATTACTTTTACATTTTAATTCATTTAAAGACCCTTAATTTACAATATCAATTATAATTTTATACAAAATGAGAGCATTTACTATTAACAGTGAAAGTTTTGATTGCGGCCTCTCAGGCCCCACGTCGGTACTTGTTACAAAAAACCACGTTGGTAGTAGAAGGTTAAGAGTGACCGCAAACAATAAAATTTAAACTACATTATAACAATAAATGCAGAAAAAGTAAACAAACTTATGAACTTATATGAGATTTTACCTTATTAAAATTTTACACTTTTTGGTGGACAAAAGGGTCGTCTTACCTATGGTATTTGATTTAATTTCTATTTAAAAACACACTCTGACATTCTTCGGATATTTTTATATTTAATGTATAATATCAGGAGCACTCTAAAGCTGTTGTAGCCATACAGAATGACCTGTCCGAGCCTTTTGAGATCCGTTCGGGAGTGAAACAAGTAAACGCACTATCGTCTATAGTCTTCAATTTGGTACTCGAGGCTGCCACACGTAAATTGAACATCAATGGCCTGATTAACTACAACACCACTCTACTCGCTGCGTATGCCGATGATATTGTTATAACCAGCAGGTCAAGAAACAGGATGGCCGACTAATAGTGGTGGTATTTTCCGTGGTTATTAAGGGATGTCAAGTTAAAAAGAATTTCGTATGATTAGTATAACCATCAAATACAATCGTTCTGTTATGACCAAAATATCTTTGTACATACTGAACATATTTTTCAAAAATAATATGAAATGTTTCATCTCTATCCCATACAACGCGGTGTAAAAGATACCCTCCATCAATAATGTAGATAGCATTTGTGTTATCAATTTTGAAGTTTAAACATTCAAAGCAATTATAAAGAGCTGACTTCATAGTTTTACGCATTCCACTGTATCAAAGAGTGATAATAGGTAAGGAGCTAATTCATATGCGAAGAATGTTTCAAGTTCATCTTCAAATGTCTTAGTAACGCTCATGCGTTGAAATAATAATACAGGGTCTATAGGCACCTTTTCATCGTGTACTTTCATGACGCTACTTGCACTTAAAAGAGTAAGTACTCTATCAGCGCGTTTTGATTTAATATGTGGCCGTGGTAGGAAAATGGGAGATCTCCCGCCGGGCAAGGTGTTCTGCCCGGGGAGCGGCCGACACTCCATGTGATAGTTCCGAGATGTTCTATATATACTGTTTATGATTCAGAATTTTGATAGCGCGATTTAGGCTTCGGTGTGTTTCGCTTGTGGCGCGACGACAGCGCCGCCACAAATATTATTAAACGTTTGACCAGTCATTTTGCTTATAGACGCAAGTCGAACTGTATGAGCATTATGACAATTAATTTTATCATCGCCGACGACTCCTCTGGCAATAGACATAATTTCGTCGGTCGAATCACGAAGGGGCGTATCCCACAAATATTCGATTTTTAGTTATCTCCACCATCGTAATCTATAAGGCAAGTTTTATAGCGTCACGAAAGGGCGTAATTTAAAACACACCGGAAACAGATTTACAAACAATTACGAAAAGCCCTATCTGCTATTCATCCCAATTTAAAAATCACGAATAGTCGTATCCACCAGTTACGCCTATTCTTACCTGTTCCCATGCAATTTTTTTTCACGAAGAGGCGTAACCTATCTAACGTGTAGTGTACGTTAAACATCGATAGACTATCGATGGTATCGATAGTAAATGGCTATCGATACTATCGATAGTTTTTAAAACTATCGATCGATTGTTTACTCGGGTACTACTTTTACATCCCTAGAGTCGAGGTATGCATGTATGTAAGTTATTCCCCGGCTATAGTGACAAAGGTATAGACATTGAGATTGTTCTCTATGGTAGGGGAATTACCGTGCGTATATCATACATTCAAAGGCGTAGACATTGAGATTCTTCTCTATGGTTGGGGAATCACCGTGCGTATATCATTCATTTACAAGACAAAAGTCAGTCAGTCAGTTTTTTATTGTGGATGTTTGAAGTTGAGTGGAGTAACAAACAATTTAGAATTAAACAATAAAACATGAGTAGTAAGTCACGTGCGTGGGATTACTTCAAAAAGACTAATGAAAAGTTTGCCAAGTGTTCTTTGTGTAAAAGAGAGTTTAAACTAAGTGGAAATACTACGAACTTGATCGATCATATGAAGAGAAAACATAATGAGGTATGGATGTGGTCATCCACTGTTTCTGTTACTCAAGACGTAGATACCACTGAGCAAAATGAGAAAATGGGCCCAAGCCCTAAAAAAGAGAAATACGCTAAAAAATTATTTTGATAGAAGTAGTAAATATCCAGATGGGAAAACAAAGCAAAATTTGGATAACAAATACGTGCGCATGATTGCTGTTGACATGGAACCTTTGCGAAAAGGAGAACATGAAGGATTTCGGGATTTTGTAAATGCTCTCGATAGTAGATATGAAATTCCTGATACAACAATATTGAAAAAGAAATTACTGCCGGAATATTATGAAAACGTGAAACAGAAGCTCGTCATAGCATTATCGAAAGCAGAACATGTTAGTGTGACTACTGACTTATGGACATCAATTGCAAATGAAGGCATCCTTTCAGTTACTTGTCATTTCTTTCACAACGAAAAATTAATTGCACCATTATTGGAAGTTGTGAAGATGGAAGGAAGTCATAACGCAGAAAATATAACCAGTGTAAGTATTTTTAAATTTTATTGCCTTGATACCTACCAATTCAGTGTTTCTTTATAATCAGACATAAACAATATTATTATTGTTTTCAGATGTTGGATGCTACTCTCTCAAAATGGGATATCAGGTCAAAATGTGAAGCAATAACGACTGATAACGCTCAAACAATGATTAACGCCGCAGCCAAACTGCATATACGACATATACCCTGCTTTGCGCACACACTAAACCTGACGGTAAGTGATTCGTTTGCTGTGACCTGCTTAGACCAGATTCTGAAAAAATGTAAATCGATTGTGACTTTTTTCAAGATGAGTACTCTAGCTAGCGATAAATTACGGGCTATTCAACGTGAATTAAATAAACCAGAACTGAAAGTGATCCAGGAAGTACCCACCCGCTGGAACAGTGCATACCACATGCTGCAAAGAATTGTTACAATGAAGACAGAATTAACTCTCGCACTTAATGAATGTAATCGGGCTCCACCAGGAGTCAATGCTGACGAATACCTAATTATTCAAGAAACAATTCAAATTCTGGAACCTTTCGATCTAGCTACAACAAAAATTTCCGGAGAAAGCTATATAACATTGTCACTGATAATACCATTGATTCGTGGAATAAAAACGAAATTAGTAGAAGTTGAATCTCAAATTGTTACTGAAAGCGGAAACAAAATATTACTCTGCATGAAGGGATCAGTTGACAAAAGACTAAGTCCCTATGAAAGCAGGACACCTGTTGTACTTGCTACAATATTGGACCCCAGATTTAAGAAGAAGGGGTTCAAAACAAGTGACGACGAGAAGCGAGCTGGTCAGTGGCTGGAAAAGGCCTATGCTAGCCATTTAACTAAAGAACGCTTGGCTGTAGAAGAAACGCAACCAACACCATCCACGTCTTCAGGAACATCTAATGACCTGTTGGGATTTCTAGACGTTCCGGACGTATCGACCCCGTTGAGTAACTCATTGGTAGATGTCAGGCAATATCTCGAGAAGCCAGTAATTGACAGAAAAGAGTGTCCTATAACATACTGGAAATACACCAACAATAAATTGAAGGAATTAGCGATGCTCTATCTCTGTATTCCAGCATCTTCTGTGCCTTCAGAACGAATATTTTCGAAGGCCGGACAAATTTTAACCGAACGCAGAAATAGGTTAAAAGAAAAAAGATTAAATGAATTGTTGTTTATAAAACAAAATAGCTGTTATTTTAATGATTGATTTCTAACTATAATAATGATGAATACTGATTTTTGATTGTTATTTCGAATATATATATATCAAAATAAAATTCTACGTTTCGTATAACATTTGTTATTTTATTGATGTTACGCTAATCCTACAAGTTTTTAAACTATCGATAGACTATCGATACTATCGATAGTTTTTAGTTAAACTATCGATACTATCGGATTACCAAACTATCGATGTTTAACGTACAGTACTAACGTGATTACGCGAGTGAAACAATGACAGGTCAAGACGTGTTAAGCAGTCGAGCGAAGTTAGTTGCAAGTTAATAAGGTGCATTGTTTGTTTACGAATATTAAAATTAATAAAATTCTGTCTTCAAAGTGAATGAATACTTATTTTAAGAGTTACTTTTATTTGTGTTTTATACAAATCACAAGGTTATTTTACAGTAATGTACCTATTGCTTTTAAACGCATAGTTACCTAAAAGATGAATTAATATTTTAGGTTAAAATTTTAGAAAAGTTATTTATTTGTTATTGCAATGTTTTGTTACCTAAACCATAGTTTAAATAATATGCAAGTTACAATGTCAGTGTTTAACTATTCCTAAATGTGACAGTGTGTAATTAATTTTCTTATTTACGGTTAAATTATTCTTTACAGATACCTACTATCTACTTAACTTTCTGTGGGATGGTTTTTCAATGATGGACGTGTTAGTTACATGGAAAGATGGCACTCAAAATGTTGTACACACACGGGAATTATTTCCAATCAGAAAAGGTCAGAAGATAACACTTGGTACAAAGGTGAAAATGTTGTATGAACGAAAATGGTGGTATGGTACAGTAACTGTTGTCGAAGCAAAAGAATACTCTTCGTCTGAAGACGAACCACTTTCAACTTATGTTCCTGCAAACCGTGTGCAAAATTGCTGCGAGTACATTAACTGTCATAATCCTATTTTGACTACTTGTACGGAATGTGCTTGTTTCTTGTGCGCTGAACATTACCAAGAAGACGCTTCCTGCTCTAATCATATTTTAGTTAGCAATAACATATCCACATCAAAAAATCAGGATACATGCTATGAATTATCATTAACCAATTCAGAAAAAAAAATTTATGATACAGTATGCACTGATGAAAATTATATAGATATACAGAATGAATACCAAAAATGCTGTCAGTTTTCGATTTGTACTGATGAGGTATTTAGTGCATGCCATCGTTGTTCATGTCTCCTTTGTTATGAACATTTTGTCAACAATTGCTCTACCTGCGAAAATCATCTAAACTTTGAAGCTGACTTGACGTTAACAGAAACTTTAAAATTTGATTTTGGGCAAACTGATATGCAGCAGACTTGTGAATATGCCAACTGCACTAACCCTGTACTAACGACATGCTTTGCTTGTTCTTGTTTACTGTGTGATATTCATTTTGCGTCTGTGCTTTATATGCAATCATGTTCTGATCATAAAAAAAATCCAGCCTCGCTTGCTGATTTCGATATTACCGAAATTGAGAATGTTTCAAATGATTCTGATGCAACTATGGTCTTATCTGACACTCGCGACTCACCCAGTATTTTAATGCAGAATACAGTTTTGGAACCACAACAAGACAGTTATTTGGCCCCAGAAGACTTTATAGTAGATGGCGTTTCCCGAGAGGAAGAAAGATCGAAACCTGTTAGAAAAAATAAATACAAAGAAGCCAAGGTTTTGCGACACGCAGGACAAGAATATATTTCGCCATATACAAAAAAAGTAGTTCCTGGAAGGAAGGTTGGTTCATTATGCAATAATTTAGAAAATTGCACAAAGCAAGGCCTGTACTGTTATCGTTTTAATGAACAAATACGCGAAAATATATTTATGGATTTCTATTCATTAGCAGATCTAACTTTGCAAAGAGAATATATAGTGAGATTTGTTGAAAAAAAGCCCGTAGGACGCAAAACTACTGCCACAGAATCTCGTCGGAAGTTTACCAACTGCTTTTACTTACCATTAAATGATGAGAAGCAGAAGGTATGCAAGAAAATGTTCCTCAATACTTTGGGAATTTCAGAAAAGACGTTTCGCACAGCTTTGCAAAAATTAAAGAACACCGGTGTAGTAGAAAAAGACAGAAGAGGAGGAAGGCAAGAGGTCTATCATGAAAAGGATACTCAGCTGCGATCACTCATTACTGAACATATTAACAGATTTCCGTGTGTTGAGTCTCATTATTGTAGAAAAAGTAGTACAAAAGAATATCTCCACCATGATTTATCTTTGAAAAAAATATATGGTATGTTTTTAAAGGAGTATAACCAACCCGTAAGTATGACACTTTATAGAAATGTATTCAAAGGCATGAATTTATCGTTCCATAAACCAAAAAAAGACCAATGCAGTTTATGCATGACATACAGAGAAGGTACAAGCGAGGTGAAAGAGAAGCTGCAGAATAAATATGATGCACATATTATAGAAAAAGAAGAAGTACGACGAATTAAAAACGAATGCAAGAATCGAGCAATACAAAATATAACCACTTGTTGTGCTTCGTTCGATTTACAGCAAGTCATCTATTTGCCACAATCCAATGAAAGTGCTCTTTTTTATAAAAGACGTTTGGCTAATTATAATTTCACAATTTATGATTTAGCCTCCAAAGACTGTATATGCAACTTATGGAATGAGACAATCAGTAGAAGAGGTGCCTCTGAAATTTCTACTTGTGTTTATTATTTCTTAACAAATTGTGATAGAAAGAGTGTGAAAGAAGTATTCTTATTTTGCGATGGCTGCTCAGGCCAGAATAAAAATTCCGTGATGGCGGCTATGCTCTTATACTTAATAAATAATTGTGAATCTATTGAAGAAATTAGTTTACGATACTTCTGTTCGTTCCATGGGCAAAGCGAGGGCGATTCTGTCCATAGCGCGATAGCATTTGCAATGGCAAAGGCTGGGAACGTCTTTGTTCCATGCCAATTGGAGCCGATCATACGATTGGCACGCAAAAATCCATACGAAGTCAAGGTACTCAATTACAATGATTTTAAGGATTTTAAAAATCTTGCCTTAAAGTTAAGGTTACTTAAATTAAAAAACGATAACCAGACAGCCGCCCTCTTTAAATGGACAGATGTTATGGAGTTAAAAGTCTCACGAAAGTCTCAAAGTAGTCTATTTTTTAAAACGAGTCACAAGGATAAAGAATACAGATCGATATCAATAAAAAGACAAGATGTTAAATGGCTGAAGGAAGAGGTGGGACATTTAAATAAATCTCATTATGAGATATCTAAAGAAAAATATAACGATTTAATTTCTATGTGCAGGGGAGAGACCCCTTTGATAAGATGCCGGGAATATCAAACTTATTATGAAATCCTACCACATCAATAAGATATTGTTCCATTACTTAATATTACAGTCTTTCTTTATTTAATAGTGTTTTAATTTATAGTCTTTTATTTCTTTTATAGTTAAGATAGCCGGACGTAAATGTTATTTTGAAATGTTTGCACATGACAAAAGGGCGTAAGTGAATTTTTTTTCAAAAAAAAGGAAATATATCTACAAGTAACTAAAGTAAACTAATAAACTAATTTAATATCAAAAGAGGATTAGTTATCAATCCTAACGACAGTCCTGTAAACTGCGTAGTAGTTTTACATATAAAGTTACGACGGTGCATCACGGTGGACTTTATTGAAAATCGCTCTACTGTAAAATTGACTAAAATCACTTACGCCCCTTCGTCATTCGACCGACGATTTTTGGAATCACAGGGAACGGATCAAACCATTAGTTTCTTATTTTCATTTATATTGAACGTCCGATGACGTGTAAAGGCTGCATTTTAGTGCATATTATGTGAAATACTAATTTTCTAATTATTGATATCTCACCAATGGTGTGAGCCTTAAGATAAAAAGTCACTAGACCATTTTTGTAGAGAATTATATGATCTACGTTTGTCCGAACTATTTTCACGATAAAACTTATCGTTTTCGAGAAAAAATGGAAAAAACATTAATTTCGTATGTTCGACCTTGAATAAATTTTTTGCAGAAGTAGGATCGAATGGGATTTTTGACATTTTATTTAAAATTTTACGTGGTAGAGCCATGCTGCAGTTATATTAGTAGTATAGTTGTAGCACGAATGGGTCGGCTCGACCGGGGAAGGACCACGCTCTCACAGAATACCAGCGTGAAATAGTAGCTTGATGCTGCTGTATTTCGTATGGTGAGTGTAGAGAACCGGAGACCCTTTTTACTGGAAACGAGGCATTCCATCTTAGTCCTCACGGGTGACAACGCATCTGCATTTTGATTCGTAATCGAGGATAGATGTAGATGTCTATGGGCCACAGCAACCACTTACCATCAGGTGGACTGTGCGCTCGTTTGTCACCCTATCCTATAAAAAAAATGATGTATTTAACACTTTAGAAATCCCCCTTAGTTCATTTCAATCGATCAAGCCGTTCAAAAGTTATAAGAGGTTTACATACATCCACACACACACACATATATTCAGACATGTAGACACAAAATTATCACAAAATTGTCAGGGTGGCTTCCTGTAACTTCAAAACGTCAAGATTTGATTAAAACTCAATTTTCGAAAAACGGAGTAAAAACAATAACTTGCAGATTTTAAGCAAGCGGTAAGTTAAAAAAGTAAAAATGTGTTGAAAATTAAAGAATACAGCACTGAAGCTGTTGTGGCTTCGGAACAGTCCCGATATAACATCCTTTTCCTAAGTGTTTCCTATCCTCCCGCCTCCCCCGTATGCGCACTGCTCAGAATGGTGCGCCACCTATCGTCGAGAAAAGAAAGAAGCAAGATGGCCGCGCACGCATAAAACTGGTTCGTTACCGCTTGTTTAAAAATAACCAATAAATAAGTTGTAAGACTATCGTGCAATTGCTCGTGTCCATATACATTCGAAGTGCAGTGTGGTATTTGTGTATACACGAGAACTTCAGCCTAAATATACAGACTTCACTTCAGAGTGCTCCATTCTTGTGAGTATCCTTACCTTATCTACCCAGTTCTAAAGCTATTTTCGTTTACTTCCCGGTTTGGGATCATCGGGTTAGCCAGCCCTTGGTCTGGTTGTTCTCTGGTTCCCAAAACCACCCACGAAACACATTGCGAAACATTCAAGCCGTAACATAATGTCTGGTCCATGCAGACTTATCTTATTTGGTTGCGTTATAATTGCTAAGTTTATTTCGAATGTGCATTGATAGTCTTACGCTTTGAAAATTATTATAATTTGAGGGTATTTTATAATTATTGTTGGAAAAAATTACTAAATCAGTTTATGGAAATGATTAATTTGGTCTTAGAATAATAGCACTTAAGTATAAATACTTGTATATCTATGAATGTTGGGTCGTTTGTTAATTGTTATCTAATTCAAATGGTTAAAAAAAAACGTTAACATTAAATTCAGTATTTGAATGTTAATTTAGTTTGGAGAAACTTAAATATTGTTTTAAATATCTGTCGTTAATAATTATACTTAACATTCATATTTAATTTTTCGCTGTTATTTTATAACCATGTCGCAAGAAGAAATGAAACTTAAACTTTATACGTCACAGCGAGAGTATGTTTTTCGTTCTATTCAAACTCTTTTCGATTTATCCACTCAAATACGGGAAGACTCCAGTTCTTCTAAAGTTAGCCAATTTAAATCTAGATTTCTTAAAATTGAGAACATTCGTGATGAATATGTGTTGCTTACGGAAAAAATTAATTCGTTAAAACTGGCACTGTTTCCTAAAGAAAAAATAGATATGCAAGCGTTGTCTGCATTTGATGATATGTACTATGAAGTTCTAAGTTTTGCCGCGGAGATGTCCCTACCGGAGCGCAAACGAGGCAGCAGCCCAACGTCCGCTGACGTTAACTACACCTTTACGCCTGACGCGGAAAAGGTACAAGCTAGACTGCCACAAATTGAGCTTCTGAAGTTCGACGGAAAAATTGAGAATTGGCAAACATTTTACGACACTTTCGTAACGTTAATTCATAATAATAAATCAATCGCGAATATTACTAAATTTCACTATCTCATTTCTTGTTTATCGGGATCCGCTTTAGGGATCGCAAAGAATTTAAAATTAACTTCCGATAATTATGAGCTTGTATTCAATGAACTTATTAAGCGTTATCAAAATAAGCGCATTTTAGCAGTGGCGTATTTAGATCAAATAAATAACTATCCTTATTTAAAAACTCCTAATTTCAATGATTTACAAACATATACTAATATTCTTTGTGAGTCAGTCAAAGTCTTATGCAGTTTCTTCAAAACTATGTAAAAGTTTTAGAAATAAATGCTAATGTTGACATTAGGGCGCGATCTTCTCAATTTTTAGGCGGTAAACAGATCAAGACTGTTTCACCGCGGGCACCGAACCTGAAACGTTCCGTGCTCACTACTCAGTCTAAGCCTACTAGTTCGAAGCAGCTGGCTTCACTAGAGTGCTATTATTGTGGCGCAGCACACAGTATCTATAAGTGCCCCACTTTTCAATCTTTGGACACCAGTGCTAGAATAAATATTGTCAAACAAAATAATTTATGCATTAACTGTTTACGAAAACATTCTCTTGATAAATGCGTCTCAAAAATGAGATGTTTTATCTGTAGTGGTAATCATCACACTCTGGTACACATCGACAACCAAGTTCGATCACCGACCGCGGTGACCACCGGTTCGAGTAGTGCCCACACTAACACGAGTGCGTTCGTGGGAGAGGCTAGTGGCCCGTGCGTGGTGCTGCTCGGGACGTGCATGGTGCGTGTGTAGGACTCTAGTGGCACGTTCCATCAAGTTAGAGCGCTCATCGATAGCGGCGCTCAGGACTGCTTCATCACCATGAAATGCGCAAAGAGACTTGGTTTTCAATTACGTCGATGCACTACAACTGTGGCTGGACTTGGACAACAGTCCGTGTGCAAGTCAAGGGAGTGACTCAATGCTCTATACGCCCGTGTGATTCGAATGAGCCACAATTTGATATTAATCCTATAGTCATCGATAGCATTACTTCTAAAATGCCAACCACTGATATTCAGCTAGCGGTTCGAGACTGTTATAAACACTTAGTATTAGCGGACCGTGACTTTGACAAACCGTCTGATGTTGATTTATTGCTAGGTGCTGAAGTATTTCATCACATCTATGACGGCCGTGTCATTCAACCAGAGCCCGGCTATCCTGCTGCTTTCTTAGCGTAGCGTCTTTGGTTGGGTTCTCTCTAGGACCCACCAATGTGGAGAGTCCGGTAAAATCGGTTGGCACTTCGTTAATTACTTCAACCAATTCATTGGAGAAGATGATGAAACGATTTTGGGAAGTCGAGGAACCGCCTCATCAACATATACCTGCTCCAGAAGATGAGGAGGTCGAACGCCTGTATTCCACTCAAACTTATAGGGAATCGGACGGTCGATATGTAGTCCCTATCTTATTGACGCAGTCGTCTGTCTATATGGGAGGCTCATATAATAGTTCTTTGTCGCAGTTTATAAATCTTGAGAAAAAACTTTGCCGACAACCAGATCTTAAATCACTTTATAACGATTTTATGCGTGATTATGAGCAGCTTAATCATATGCAACCAGTGGGAAAGGATATTACCCCTGGTAGATATTTCATTCCTCACCATTGTGTGATTCGTCCAGAAAGCATAACGACCAAACTTCGCGTTGTATTCAATGCGAGTCACAAGACGACTAATGGACTATCTTTAAATGATATTGTTTACACTGGACCGAAGTTACAGGCTGATTTGGTTGACATTATTACTGGATTTCGGGTCCATAATATAGTTTTTACATGTGACATATCTAAGATGTACAGGCAAATCTTGATAAGGCCTGAGGATCGAGTGTGGCAACACGTACTATGGCGTGAATCCCCTTCCTTGCCTGTTCAAGAATTAAGAGTTCAAGAGTTAAGCTTAAAGAAGATTTAATCAATCTTCTTAATTGTGCTCAGCTAGATTTGCGTAAGTGGAGCAGTAACAGCCCTTTATTTCTTCGATCGTTACCCATGCAACCATGTCAGTGTCCGAAGACATTTTCTGATGATAGTTCAATAACGCTTAAGGTTTTAGGAGTTCAATGGGATCCTGCGGAAGACTATTTCACTTACTCCGTCTCTCCTGTGAATGTGGAGTTTACGAAACGTTCAATCCTGTCCCACGTTGCTCGTATTTATGATCCGTTGGGTTGGCTTTCACCTTTTATTCTTTTAGCCAAACTACTTCTTCAAAACTTATGGCGTATTGGATTGTCTTGGGATGAAATCATTCCCGCCAATCTGTGTGACGATTGGGTTTCATTTGTGTCTGACTTGTCTAATATAAAATCGA